GTATTTAAATAAATTGTATTAAAAAATGTTAATGGAAAACATTGATACGATATTTTTTGAGTAAATCATTTAAAGTCTCAAAATAGCAGGGTTTTCATGATCCTTATTAACTTAAAGGTACATTTTTATACCTTTCTCTATAAAAAATAATCTTTTAAACTCCTTACTTTAAAGAACTTTTTCTTTTTTTTTAAGAAAACTCTAATAATTTATAGACTTTTCTCCCCGTGCATTCCACACATGGAAAGGAAGAGCCGACAGGATGGAACTCAAGTGTAGGAGATGGGGCCGAGTGACTGTGGCACGTCACGTATGTTTTTGTGCCCAAGCATTCGCATAAACATTCCTGGTCCATGGATCTTGGTCCTGCAGCTTCGTCTCCTTTTGCCGCATCTTCGCCAGGACATTGGCATTGACAGGCTCGCGTCGCTTTGCGTTAAATGTCAGGCCGCCCTGTTCCCTTTTTCTTTTCCGCCGCGGGGTCACAGCAATTGACCTTCCATTCATCACTATCCACCGTCACCGGCAACGCCTCACTCCCCCCGTGAGATTGTTTACTCAAGTAGCACTCTTGGGCGAGTTTTTTCCGCTGGGAAAACGGGGAAACTCAGAGCATTCTGTCCATTGATGTTTACCGCATTTGTTTATCGATTGAGCTGGAAAAACAGTTGAGTTTTAGGTTACTGAAAAAACACAAAAGCGTCCGCTTTGAGTTGGTCAGGGACTTTGGGGTGATCTGTAATTATCCCTTCAAATGAGGCTGAAACGCATAAAAGGAGTGACTGGGAGGAGAATGGAAACTAAAATAAACAAAGTCAATCAATGTTGAACTTTCTGTGAGGTAAATAAAAAATATTTGAAGAAATGGTTATAGGAGTCGTAGTAAGAAAGTGATTATGGGATTGATTTCATAAGAGTTTTGAGATATATCTTAAATCTATCTTGGGTTTAGGTTTCAACACCATTTTTTTAACAAAAGAATTTCATATTAACTTATTATAAATTCCAGTGATATTCACAATATTTTTCTAGCCATTTTAATGATATATTTCCACATTAAAAACCTCAATTTTACCCTAAATAAGCTCAATCACTGTGAAATGACAGTGAAAACTCCTATAATAATGGAAATTATTCTTTTATTCATAGTCTACATTTGGGCGTTTTACTTCCGTTTCCACCTCCTTCCTCCATTTTGTTTCTTCCTTTTTTGCGGGGGTAAGCCTTTGTGTGAGTGAGAAGAGAAATGGCGAAGAAAATGAGCAACCAAATAACTGTAAATAAGCAGTGAAGGAATGTGACAACATCCTCGGTGAGGTTGATAAGGAATTCCCCCTCGTTTGCTCGTAATTTTTTGTTGTCCTTATTTATTTTCATTATTTTTTTTTTCTGTTTCGACACAAAAGGCAACAAATGAAAGACACAGAAATGCTTGTGTAATGAAAGACTTGAGCAACATAATAAATAATGGCAAGTACACCAGCTTCTGGCTTCTTTCCCAACTCTACCCCGTCCATTTTTCGCATTTTCTCAAGCTTCTCTCATTACTTGGCTGAGTTTTTCCAATGCACTCCAAGTAAAAGAAGGATGACAATTAGAAAACCGTTTCGGAGAGTCATCAGTGTGCATGGGAAAACTCGGCAAGCAGCTTTTCCCCATTCCACTTGCCGCCCTTCAAAAAATGTTCATGAAAAATGAGCAGCGAAAGGATTGAAGGGGAAAAAGGATTGGCCCTAAACAAAAGTCGAAAACGAGAGCCAGTCCTTGCGAGTCCTTTTAGCGAATTCTTCTCCGGAAGCTTTAACATTTGGAATGTGATAAAAAGTTTCTTAAAAGTTGGTGACAAGACCACGTCATGTCTTCTTTTTATCTAAATAATCTCCTCAATAGAGTGGAACTTAATTAATGATGGTTTTAATTAAATTAATTGACTTCTTAAATGGAAACAAGGAAGTATTCTCTAGATTTGTTAAGGGAAATGTATAAATTGATATGTAAATTTTTTAATTTAATTTATATTAAACTGTTCTCGATTTTTCATAGACCTTCTCATATAAATATTTATAAAAGTGACACATTATTTAATAGATTACAAAACAAATGTCAAAATCAATAATTGATTAAATAAATAGCGACAATTAGAAAAAATGTAGGGTAAAGACAAGTAATATAATGAGTTAAAGGCCTTCAAATTGAATACGATATCTATTCCATTATTCAATTTACAACTTAATCCCTTATAATATCAAATAATGTAAATTAAAAATGTTTAACAAAAAGGTAAACAAAAAAGACATCCTCAATTCTGGTCACGGCAAAACCCTCTCGTTTAGCTTGTTAAATCATTTGTGTGTTTTGCTGCTGCCTCAAAACAAAAAAACTATTTAATAAATTATTTAAAAACAAGCCGCAAAAGCAAAAAACTAACATAAATGTCGACATAAAAGTACCGAGAAACAAACAAATGCGGCAACATGAAAAAGATTTTAATGACCAAAAAGGCAAACAAATCATAGAGTGGGGAAAACAACTATCATATGACAGCAAAATTATCCTGGGAAACACACACCAGAACACACACCGGACCAGATATACTCACATGGACACATGGATATACTCACAGGAGCAAAGTTTTGAAACCATTTTCCCCCTACTTCTGGCAGGACTTTAACCGGCTTCGTTTTAATTGTTACCGCCTTCTTCCGCTTGGAAAATGCTTTCTAAATTAATTAATAGCATTGTCTGTCTTTGGCAATTTGCCACGCCCACTCGCCCACACACACAGTCTTACACACAAACTATAAATTGAATTTTCTTATGCGTTGGCACAAAATGGAGTGCGAAGAAAATTATTTTCCTTGAGAGAAAATGTTTCGAAAAGTTGACAAAAAATAATGGAACCAGTTAACCCCTGTTTTAACACTTTAAATTGATTTTTAGTTGCTTGAAGTTGAGTAAAACAATATATATATAAAAATAAATGACAAATTTATTTTTATTAAAATTCCATGAGTACTTTTTTAGTATAACAATATCCCCCGTCTTGCTATCTTTTATAGAATGTGAAATTTTAATTTTATCTATAAAAAATGATTGGAAATTTATTTCCACTATATTTTTGGAAAAGCATTTAACTCCTTCGCTTGCCAAAGGGGTTAACAAGACGAAAAAGCAGAGAAAAATCGAAAGAGGCCAAGTCAGCGAGAAGCCAAGCAACTTTCCAGGCCGAAAATCCTTTTTTAATTAAATTTTCTGTACATTCTGCAGTTTTTAGGTTTGAGACAGGCAATGGGAAAGATGTGGAAAACAGGCGACAGTCAAGAGTCGAGAGTCGAGACTTTCCCTCGCCAATTCACGTCGCTCATATGTGACGAAAGGAAAACTCATGTGGTTTTTCCCCGGCCTGTGGAGAGTGGAGTTGAAGGAGTAGTAACCAACCAAAAGACAAAGTTTCCGTTGGCGACATTCTGGCTGTGCCTCTCCTCGCTCTAAAAACTCCTCACCCTCGCAGAGGACACTCCTTCGCTTTTTGTGTCAAGTTAATCCAATTAGTTGTTTGGGAACGTAGTTTGCACTTTGATTTCCAGCAAACGCCACACCATCTGTGACGGGTCTCTGCCTCAGACTCAGAAATTACCAACTAAATTGGACGAGCAGGAGATGGATTGAGATGGAATTGATATTGATAACCGAATTATGAATTGAGGTGGAGTCGAGTCTTTGTTACTAAACATTTACACCTTAATAACCATATATGTTATTAGAGTTCAAGCGAAATAAGCGAGAATATTTGGCATTTCATTGAACTTTACTCAGTTTCCAAATGCTTAATTTTGTCACTGTCACTAAGCTAAACATTGTTGAGTGAGTCCCTAACCAGATGTGGGATGATTCTTTATATATGTACATTGTACAGTTTATATATCAGTTTGGTACTGATTAAACACTCATTAAAAAAAAAAGACAAAAGCTCTCTGGCATTATCTCTTTTTTTGGTGCTCTCCACGCTGATCTCTCTCACTCTCCCTATCTCTGTTTGTGTTTCTCGATCTCTTTGCTCTTCTCACTCTGTTTGCGTGATTTTTAATCCACAGTTACAGCTCGCTTATCAGTTGTCAACAGACCTCGTCGATCCTATGTGCTATATGATATACCCTACAAAATTTGGGCCTTATCTATTAATCCATCATTAGAATTTTTAACTACATATAAAATTAATATTAATTTACTTGTATATTACTTGTATTAAGCTAATTAAGTTACCAAAGGGATTTCAATTGATATATTTTTATACAAATAGTTTTCCCTTAGACCTTGGCTTAATTAAGCCAATAAATACTCCGGAAACAGAACAATAAATTACTAGTTGAAGTGTCATATAACATTAAGTTGACACCTTAATTAATAGTTTGCCATATAAAAAAAGCACAAATAAACATATCATGACAGTCAGATAAAAATACCAAATCAACTGAAGGCAATAAATTAAAGGGAATTAAAAATTATTAAATTTACAACTTAATTCTTTACAAAAACAAACCCTTTAATGAAACGGTTTCTATAGGGCATTACCAGCTTCCCCTTAACCGCATCGATTTTTTTGTCTTATCTGCCACAGATGCTGCGTACACGGGTTGGGTTAAGTCCGAGAGTCGAAATTCCCGAGCATGACGTGCATTTTTATGACACGGCACGCTCAAAGCTTTTTAAAATGTCATTTAAAAGTACAAAAAACAATAACGAAAAACAAGAAAACAGGAGGAGAGATGCCCGCTTGTAAAATAATGTAGCTGTCCGCACCACGCTCTTTGTGGGCGCTCTCGGGTTCAGTAGCGTTTTTGCAGTCGAAATCGTGTGACACTTGCGTCCGGCGGAATGCTTTTGTTGTTGCCTCTCTCCCCGGAAGCAAAATTAATTACAAAATATATATACATATATATATATCGCAGCTCATAATTTCATTTACTGAGTGTGTGTGTGTGTCACTTTAATTTTTGCAGGCAGCCACAGCGGGCACTCCGAACGCAACTGGAATATCCAACTCAACCGTAGTTGCAGCGGCGGAAACTTCCGCTCCGGGAGCAGCGTTGTCGGAAATTGAGCAACTGCAGCAGGCATTAATCGAGAAGCAGACGCAGCTTTATAATCTGGAAACGGCTTGCCTACGGGAAACGGAACGGCAGGTGGAACTGGAGGATAGTGTGATTGCGTGGCAGGATAAGTACGATCGGTTGTACGAGTCGCATAAGCGTGTCCAGAAGGTCAATCAGAGTCTGGAGGATAAGATGCTCAAGCTGGTGGACCGGAATGCCGGCGAGCGGGCGCAGCTCACCAGCGATGTGGCCACCTTGAGTGTGAGACTGGCCCAGGCCAATTTCAATATTGCCAAGCTGCAGCGGGAAATTGTGAGTACAAAATATGATTAAATATATATTCTTATCTCATTGAAAAGTTGTTAGAACTTTCAGTTAATTCATAATCATAAGTGTTGAGTGGATTTGTAATCTTTATGAATTACAAATTCATTTAAATAATATATTCTGAAATATACTAAAGTCTATATAAGCCTTAGCTCGTCGTGTTTGTAATAAACCTGTTGTGTCAATGAAGTCATTTTTGAATATTTTTTTATGAGGTTATGACACTACATTGTTGTCTTTACTTATTAAAGGCCTTGTGGAAGTTTGTTTACTTTAGGATTATTCTGTTAAAAGAGTGTTACTTGTTTATAAGAGTATATGAAAATAGAGTCACGAAAGGAATGAATAATTTAAAATATTATAAATTACTTAAAAGGAAATCCCACACATTCTGTTATCTGAAATTAATTTACCGTTTAAATCTGGCCTGTTACTGGCTATGTTCTTGGTTAATGCTATTTAAACTTGAAATTTGAGCCTATCTAGTAAATATCTCCTCTATAAAATACCTTCTTTATATTAATTATTTAATATTTATTAAATCTCAGCAATTTCCTTAAGATCAGCTCTTTAAAGGCAGCTTTTCCTTGTGTGTTTACCAGTACCAATGGCTTTAACCATTAGGTTCTTAAGAACTTTACCTGATCTCTACCAAGCTCTTCTATCAAACTCTTTTAAGAAATAAGAAAATTCACTTAGCGTTTTTGCCCAAAAGAACAAATAGAGCCCGTTGGCGTTCAGTTCGTTCTTTGACAATTTCAAAATCCCCCCCCAAAAAAAAAGGAAAAACGCGCAGCAACCCAAACAGCTTAAAGTGGATTTCCCGATTTAGCCAAGTCTAACAGCTGCCACAACCAGTTCAAGTCCCAGCTAAAGCCATATAGCTCTTCCCTTACCAAATCTACGCCACGATGTTGGTGCAACCAACTAATTGGCCGCCAAGTTTCGAGAGGAGAAACAAACACACTCAAGTCTGGAGCTGGATTTTGGGGGTGTTTTTTGTTTTTCTATTTATTTATTTTTTCTGTCGCTGCTTTAAGCTTTCGGGTGGGGTTTGAGGGGGTTAAAGTCTAAACAAATGAAAGGCGGCAGAGCGTTAAAAACTCAGAGTTGCAGTTGCACTTCTACTTACTACAACTTATACACCCCTTCTTGTTTTTTGTGAGTATGTGTATTGTACAAAAACTAGAACTAAACTTTTCCAATTCAGTTTGTTTTTTTGCCATGCTGTGAGAAATACGAATATATATCTGTTCCCACAAAAAAAAAATAAAAAAGTTTTCAATTAACGCAAAACAGCAGCAAATGCACTTTAGATGAAGGACATGCGGACGATGACGATGACGGGGGGTTGGTTGTTTTTCTCTATCGACGGGGTGTCTGCTTTGGGCGAGGAAACCTTTTAACGTAGGTGTCCTGCGGGTGTCCTAGTCGACGAGGTGTTGGCACAAAGCGATTGCCCGTGTTGCAAACAATTAGCAGGACATTCGGCCAAAAGAGTGAATGAAGCACTTGGCAAAAAATCACTATAAATCAATATTAAAATTGAAGAAAAAGGAAATATTTAAACACCTTGTTGATGATTTCAAATCCTTTCGATGTTTAAAATTAGCTAGAGAAAGTTAGATGGCAGTTATGATTAATTTTCTCTGAAAAACTAAATGGAAATGTAGTAAATATTTACCAAGTTTTGCTTTAAAAAAGATATACAAAAAATGAATAATAGTATTTTTTCGCTGGTGCATGTTAGCCAGGGAGGGGGTCACAATGGCTGAAGAGGCAACTGGAGGAGGTCCTCACAGCTGCAACTGCTTTATTAACTTGTTTTTTTTTTGTGCCTTCCTTTGTTGTTTTCCCGTCGCTTTTAGCCGCCGCGTTTGCTGCCGTTGAGTGTTTGCGCAAATTAATACTTAAAAAGCATTTCCACCTCTTCAAAAAGTTGCGCAGTTTCTGTTACGTTCCGCTTGACTTTGCTTTGTTTTTAGCTGTTTTGCTGGGTTTTATTTTTGTCCTTTCGTTGCTACTTTTTCATTGTTGTTGTTGTTGTTTTGTGTATTTCTCAAGGAGGCGCCTGCAAGTGTGCAAAGGTTTTTAAGCGGTTTTTTGACCCATTCGAAGGATACAGTGATGTTTTGCAGGGCGTTTGTTGTTTACTACAGATTCGAGAGGCTGCGAAACAAAGGAAGCTAAAGTTTCTGCTTAATATCAATCATTTTTAGTTCATTTTATTTGATTTAATCAAATATTTTGACATTTTTTTTCATAATTATATAAATACGGAGAGACCACACTGCGTATGAGTGTTATTCTGTGAACATTTCTTTACGAAATTTAATTTATATAAGTCAAGGGCTTAATAAATCAAAGAAATCTAATATTTCTGGTTTATCCTTATAACTTTTACTTATTTTTATTTAATTTAATCAAAATTTCCTTTCTAATTACAAAAACAAGGACAGCCAACACTGCGTATGAGTAATATTTGGTGAACTTAAGAAAATTTAATTTTACGAAGGAGATAAATATTTTTGCTTGATCTTAATAATTTGTACTTAATTTTATTTAAGTTAATAAAATGTTTAGCCATTTCCCTCATTATTACAAATATAAAGACAAACAACACTGCGTATAAGTGATATTTTGTGAACATTTCTTAAGGACATTTAAATGATATAAACTATAGGTTTTCTAAAACAATTAAATATGTTTTAGTTCCTCAAAAATCATAGATTATCTTAGTTTAACTTAAAAATTTATATTTAAAATATTAAGCTAGCCTTTTCCCTTGAAAAACAATTTTTCCCACCATAAATCCAAGTTTTCAGACAATTTATCATTTTTTTTTTTCGTTAGCGCCGTCTGTTTGCTAGCAAGTCTGCGAATTTTTGAAGAGAACGAAAATCTGGCGAGACAGGAAAAGCGTGTGTGTGGGTGAGTGAGTGAGGGAAACAACAATGTCAATAACCTTTTTGTCAGTTTTCGTTCATTCACCATGTCCTTTTCGTTGCTTCCTGGCCTGGCCTGGCCACATCCTTTCATTCCGGCTTGCTGATGCTCTGATAAAAAATCAGCACTTGGTCATGGACTGTCGCTGCGTCACGTGCCTCACTGCGGATCTCACTGGCACTCTCCCTCGATGCCATTTACCTTGGGGCTGCCACCGAATGTTGCCTCATCCTCCTCGTGTCTCTCTCTCTCTCTTGCTGTGTGCTGTGAAGCCTCCTTTAAGCCCCCATTTAACTCACTCTCTCCCCCTGTTTTACCCACTTGCTATCTGTTTTGGCCATGGTTCGTTAATCTGACAGTGGCTTTTTTGCATGATAGCTTGGCGTTTCCGTTGCAAAACACTTAGTCGCATACTCACTCGCTCTCGCTCGATGCTTCAGTTTTGCAGCCATGGCCGTGTCCTGTAATCCTCGCAGGGCCATCAGGTTTCATTGTTGTTTTTTGTTCTCGTTGTAGTCTGTTATTATTGTTTACCGCTCTTACGGGAAAATGCGGGCTGAAAAGCTCGAAACAGCGAGCGATTACAGGCAAAGAAATATGGTAATGTCAGGGGAGTTATTAAAGTTGAAATTCTGAATGGATAATTACCATATTATTTACTTTAATAAACCTGAAAATCCAGGTTCCTTTATTTCATTTATAATATTTTCGTATTTAATAACCTATTTTTCTCTCGCTGCAGTGGCCATAAACAAAAGTGCATATTACTCGCTTTCCGTTTATGCTTTTATACTACCATTTCTGCTTTTAACTATCCATTTTGGCCATTGTTTTTTGTATTTCGCTCTGTTTTTCTCTCAGTTCGAATATTTTAAATCGTCCTGCCAGGAGGCAAACAACAACAACACCATCGTTAGCCACGCCCTCCTTTTTGTAATTCCCACTTGCATTAAATGCCGGAGCAAATGTAAATATGCTCTGGGGCTGAGTTGTCCTGCCTCGCTCGTTGGTGCAACTGACTGCCAGGACCCAATGCGTCGCATCACAGCTCCGGTTGCAACTGGAGCAGATAAAGTGCAGCAGCAGGTGCAGGAGCAGCAGGAGGAGCAGGAGCAGCAGTAGTTCCCATGGCGGATTCCCAATTCTCTGCGTCAGTCTCAATTCCCTGCTCCCTGTTCCCTGTCGTTTCCCCCCCCCAGCACATGTCCCTTTCTCTTTTGGATTTCCCATTTCCATCCCTTCAATACCCGCTGGCTTACCGTGTATGTTCCCTGTTCGGTAATGACGCGCTTGCGGTTTGCCTTCTGGTCTGGCTGCTCCTCTGGGCTCCCTGCTCCCTGCTCCCTGCTCCCTGCTTTTGGGGTCCTGCTTTTGGCCTGCTCTTATGGCCTGTTCCTCTGGCCTCTCCTTCTGGCCTCCTCCCTTGGCATAACGTGTGTGTAATTAATGTTTTCCACCTTGAACACTGCGAGCATTGGGTTGAAATAAGCGGGAAATTGATTGAACTCTGGGAAATAAATATCGGAGTAAAATAGGCTTGAAAATAGGTATATAAAGAAATTTATGGGATCTTTATTTGTATCTATATTTAGTCCTTGATCCCTTAATCATATTTAAAACCTAGCTCAAGGCTAAAGAATTAAAGTTTTTGGGAAATATAAATAAAGAAGATCAAGTTGTTTTACAAAGAACTATTAGATATTATACAAATTTAGTAAAAATTCCCAAGTTTTATAAGGAACTATTAGATATTATACAAATTAAGTAATTAAATAAATAATTAAATAATTAGTGAGGTAAACCCATTTAAAGTTGGAAATAATAACGAAAACCTTAAGCATATCTAAAGCCTCAATTTCCTTAAATATTTCCTCATTTATCCTAATGCTTTTCCCTTAGTGTCATGCATTTCCTGATATCCTGGATCACTTTTCCCCTGTTGCATGCCCCCATTTGGCTGTCGATGCGACTGGTGCAACATGGCGTATAAGTGATGGTATTGTGTAGGCCTTGTTTATCAGCTGATAAGCAAGACCCAA